TGACTCATGGCATATGGGCTAGAGGGATGAACTACTTCTCTGGCATTGAGGCTATTGGCGGCCAGACTCGACTGAGTCTGCTGATGATTGCTGGCCGATGTTGAGAAGCTCGCTGTCACCGGCCACTCGGTGGTGCGCAGGTTGGGCGGTGCGGTCACACCACTGCCGCTGTTGCTGCTGCCACTACCAACTGCGACACTGCCGCCGCTGATCACCTCGGCCATGGCGGCATTCGAATTCGATGTTGAGACTATGGGATGCGCACGCCTTGGCAGCCGATCGATTTGGCGCGATGCCTAGAATAATGCACAAAACAGAAGCACAAAAAGTCGCAATTTCCTTATACACACAAATATAGAGAGCTGGTTAGAGGATGGGAACGTCCCCTTACCGTCACCTGCTGTCTGTCCAACTGCATCTGCATCTGTAGCTGCTGCAATTGCGACGTAGGCGGGCCGCCACGTCTAACGCCGGATAGCTGAGAGAGCAATTCCGCAATGGGATCAACCGATTCCCGACCCGAGGGCGACAAGGCCGACAGACCGCTCGACGAGCTGAAGTGCATATTGGAACGACGCGTTCGCGGTCCGCCGAGAGTGCGTCCAGGGATGCGACGCACTCCACCACCATGACGAATGGCAGAGGGCTCATCGTATTATCTATAACGTTAAGCGAAACCAACAAAAAAGGCTGAAAGCTTACAACTAAAAGAATACATCTAAATGAATACTGTTTGAAAAGGATATCAGAAAGGATATTAGCTCGCGTGGTCCCTGCCGATGCTCCAATGTTAGATGACCGGCAAAGTCATCTGTGACTAGATTCGGCTCACCGCCCGGTAGGCCGGCACAGACCGGACAGACCACCTCGAGACTGGTCTCCGAATGCTCGGCAGAGACATGCTCCAGCAGCGTGGCATCGCTGAAGCCCATCTTTTTGCAGTAGGGACACGTGAAGCTTTGCGGCTGATCCGATGTTAGCATCTCACCACCGAAATATAGCTCGATATCGGAGCGGGTGAGTATGCACTGCATGGGATGCTCGACCAGATGGCGAGTGGAGGTGACGCCGTCCTCATAGCATTCGGCGCATAGATCGTAATCATAGCAGATTAAGCACTTGTAGCGGCGTCCATTGAAATTGGCTTTGAGACATGAATCGCAGCTGACACCTGGATGGATGGTGGGTGTGATAATTGCAGTTTAGTAAGAGATTTGGAGGTCTGGATGGTGGAGTAGGAGTGGTACCTTCATGTCGACTCATTATATAGCAGCAGGGCTACACTTCACGATACAGAGCCTCCCCCGCTGAATAGTGCCAGGAGAAGATGGGGTTTCTGTTTCTGTTCTGTGGGTTTCTTCACGTCGCTTTGATGATTTCCCGATGATTGTTTGAACTTGTGCTGCTGGTTCAGTGGCTGTGTGTGTGTAGGATTTTAGTTGATTCGTTTGAGATTGCTATGTTGTAGACATTTAGGATGCAGAGGAGCTAGAAGAGAGGCATTTTGCTGTTTTTAATTACCAAACATAAAACACGCAGACGGAAACAAAGAACAAATTCGGACAAGGAGAAGCATCCCATCCCATCACGTTCCGGGATACCTAGACATTTTTTGCCATCGCATCGTCTTCTTCTTCTTTTGTTTTCTCGCGGTCTGTGCACTTTTCATTTTTCAGTGTTTCTCCATACATCCATGCACACACACATACACTCTTATATATGTGTATTTTCTTCGCACCATGCTTTTTCATCCACACGATTACGGTTGTTCTTTCTTTTCGCAGTGCCTTTCGAAAACAGAAACGAAAAGGTATAAAAAGAGTCGCTTCTCCCCTCCCACCTTCCTGTCACCCACAAGCTGGCCCGACCGAGCAATGAAATTATTCAATACAATCGAGCGCGAGCCATTCGCAAAAATTACATTTAACACTTTGTTGAATTCGGGTGCGGGTGCTGGTACGGGGGCAATTGCAGTTTTCCCTTTTCTCTTTTAGCTTTTGTCCTCCATTTTAACGTTAAACACAAGCACAGTAAACATTTATTTTTAACTTTTGGGTTTCGCGAAAATTTTCAACTCATTCGTGGATGTCGTGGGCTTTTTCCCCTGTCGCTCGCAATCGCCTCCCACCGCCTGCGTCCCCCGCTGACTGAACCTTAGATATGCGCAAGTTCGTGGTATCGCGCAAAATGTCCGCACACCCACATAAAAGCACGGCTAAGGACGGCAATAAGTGTATTGTTTATAAACATTTGCAGCTATACAGAAATTGCAGATTTTCTTAATCATGCCATCGGCTATTACGCTTTTTCTCACGGATATATGGCAACGCTATATATGATTTTTGTCTTCTTTTTGTCGCAGAAAGCTCTCTTGGACGAGAACTTTGAGCAGCTGGGAATAACAGTAGGCTGTGCTGTTGTAGTTTGTCACTATTTATAAGCTTATGCGTCGAATGCTTTTCTTGCGTTCTTTGCACGTTATTCACAGGCATCGCGTAATTCTTTTACATTCTTCTTATATATGTACATTGAATTGCACTTGTATAGGTAAACACATGCAAAGCATATAGCCGAATGCTACGCAATTGCAAATCTGTTCTGAAATCTTTTGTTCATCGCGAATTTTTCATAGCCCATATACACAAGAAGCTCCCGATGATGTTATTGTTGGTGTTGCTGCTTCTGTGATGCAGTTTGCAGTCAACAGTTTTCTTGACAGGCAAGAGTATTACTGTTGGTATTATTTGTGTGGACACGTCAACATACTTTGCTATGGTGCTGTAATATCTCATTTGTTGTAACTTTAATGCACTAGCACTCAAAAATTAATAATTGAAACGAAAATAAATTGTTGGAGTGAAAAGCTTCTTCTGACCCCGCAGTGCAACCGTGCAGTTTCAAGGCACAAATACCAAATTTCAATAAAATACGACAGTCGGTATTTGACCAAAACGCATTTTCTGCTGCGATGTGGCAGCTCTTTGGGACGTAGATGCCCAGGCCAAGAAACAGTTACACGTCGCACCTTGAAGATTGAATACCCTAATTTACAATTCTTTGAATGTGAATTAAATTTTCATACGCATTTAACATAATATATCCGTTCATCTAATAGTGCCACTGTTCTTTCTATATAGGTGCTCCATTTGGCTGTGTGTTATTTTGGTGTTTTGTTGACGAGCTCAACGCGGGTTGGGCTGCCAGATCGCTGTACTCGATATGCCTGATATTTATCGGTGTCGAATAAATAACAATAATCCAGATGTGCGGAAGAACATGCTTGTAAGTTTGCAAACTAAACAAATTGTCGACTATTTGCTAATGCCCTCGAAAGAACCCTTGATCCAGACCAGGTACTGTGTGCCTGCAAATATCAAAACAGCAGCGTTGAAAAGGAAACGCCAGAATGGCGCGCGGAATTCAATTTGGGTCGACGCTACGAGGCATCCTACAACATAGCCCCCACGGACATAACGCCTGTTGTAGTGTCTGCTGCCCACTTCTCGGACCAAGAGGATCAGAAATGCGCTCGCACTGTGATGCCCATGATGTGGGGCATGATCCCATTCTGGCACAAGGGCGACTACCGCAAGCACGGCCTCACCACCAACAACTGTCGGCTGGAGCATCTGATGGACTCAAAACTCTATCGCGGACCCTTTAAGCGGGGCCAACGGTGTGTGGTGCTATGCGAGGGTTTCTACGAATGGCAGACGGCAGGTCCTGCCAAGAAACCATCTGAGCGGGAAGCCTACCTCATCTTTGTTCCCCAAGAGAGCGATGTGAAGATCTACGACAAGACCACTTGGACGCCATCCAACGTTAAGCTCCTGCGGATGGCTGGACTCTTTGATGTGTGGGAGGATGAGTGTGGCGACAAGATGTACAGCTACAGTATTATTACCTTCCAATCTAGTAAAATAATGGACTGGATGCACTACCGAATGCCAGCCATACTAGAAACCGAACAGCAAATGAACGTGAGTCGCAGAAATGATTTCTTGTGAATGCAATTAATGTTGTGGTACCTATAGGACTGGCTGGACTTTAAGCGTGTCAGCGATTCGGAGGCCTTGGCTACTTTGCGGCCAGCCAAGTCCCTTGAATGGCATCGGGTCACAAAGCTGGTGAACAACTCTCGCAACAAGAGTGAGGAATGCAACAAACCCATCGAGCTGGCCGCAAAGCCCGCCAAGCCACCCATGAACAAGACCATGATGGCCTGGCTAAATGTTCGCAAAAAGAGGGAGGCAGAAATCAAGGCCGAGCAGAGCGAACCCAGTGATGAGGAGGACAAAGTTGGTGCAATGAAGCGCAAAACTTCGCCAGATGCCTCGCCTGTTGGCAGTCCTTCCAAGCGTCCGCGATTCAGGGATTTCAAAAAGGAAGCCCAAAAACGTAGCTGTGCCATCAGCGAAAGCGAAGTAAAGTCTGCTGAGCGATAAACTTGATGTTTTTTTATTTTTAGTAGTACATTAAGTTTATTCTTTATTAAAAACCGAAATATTTGTTCTCAATACCCAAAAACTTTAAGCATAATCGTTGATTTTGTGGCTTAATTACAAAAAGGAGATGATGACTTAGCGACTAAAAGATTTATTTAAAATTTGCTTCTTGAATGCTTAATTAACTAATTTGTCATAATTAAATGGGGGCTGGTGTGTGTATATTCGCCTTGTCGCTGACAATGTAGTTTGTGTCACCAGTGTATGTACTAGGTGCACTTTAATTTTGAGCGCCACTGTATTGAGCTTGAAAGTTCTGACGTTTTTGTTGTCGCTGCAATAAAATGCATTTAAAAACCGAAAGAAAACCTGCACATGAAGCGAGTTTGTTTATAGATGAATCAATGCATGTGTGTGTGATATACTTTTGTTGTTGCATTCGCAGAAAGCGAGCGTAATTAATGGGAGAATTTTGGATTGGGGTCAATGTTGGTGCTCGAGGGCAGGTATGGAGCAGGAGGAGGCCAATACTTTTCTGGCGGGGGTTATTTGTGGGTATTTGCTTAAAATTAACAATTTGTGTATATTAGACTACCATTTGTATATGTATTAAATGTATTAGTTGCTTATGAACTTGAAATTTGGAGCACTTAATGAGAAAAGAAAATAAGAGAGAATTCAACTCCCAAGCCAAAGGCTCTTAAAAGAATTCCATTTGTTACAGAAATCGCTTAGAATTCATAGGCTCTGAATACACATTATCGCTGTTGCGTCTGTACACACTTTAAATGTACATAAATACCTTTAACTGTTGCGAATTAGCGGATTTAAAGTAGCGGAGGGGCCGACAAAAATAAAGATACGAATTCTTACGAATATCGGAATTGTTGCGTACGTGCCACATTGTTATGTACTTAAATTGCTATTTACGAGAGATTACCATGTGAGTGTCTGCGTTTTGGCTGAAATATTTCAACAATTTTCCAATAGATTGCACTTGAGAAATGGTCAAGAGAGACGGGGGACGATAGAGTGTTCTGTGATTGAATTGGATTTGATTGGACTTTGTTTGTGGGGGGGTGATTACTCAAACGGCGTGCTAAACATATTTATGTTCAAATCCTCGAATGTTGTGGGTGCACTGTGATCGAGCATCTGCAGCATATCGGAGAACTCCTGACCCTGCGGCTGGCCAGCACCGGCTGGTCCTCCGGGATGTGCATGCGGATGATGCGGATGTGCCGTCGGATGGGGAGGATGCGGATGTCCTCCTGCATTCTGCCAGTCCCACATGCCCGGCGCATTCGGTGGCGGCGGTGGTTGTGCTGCCTGATATGGTCCCTGCGGCTGCGGTTGCTGTTGTCGATTGCCATTGCCAGCGCTTAGCTGCGTGTACGTCGGCCCACTCGGTGACCGTGCCGGACTGGTCTGCTGATACGCATAGCCTTCGGTGACGGGCTGTTGTTGTTGCTGCTGCTGTTGCTGCGGCCGCAGTGCGCCCCACGCATTGGGCGCCACGGGCGTAGGAGATGTGCCCGACTTGGGAATCTTGGCCAGTGGCGAGGGTCCACCGCCACCTGCGCTGTACGGCGAATGCGTTGTGTCGTAGGCATAGCCCACCGGCGTGTTTTGAGCCGATCCCGGACGCTGCTGTTGCTGCTGCTGTGGCGTGGGCGCCTGCATTGTGAGCATGTGGGTCTGGTACATGCCATCATTGGTGGCACTGCCCGCGGGAGTGAGCTCCCTGCGTGTGTAATCCACGCCAGGTGCCTGCACATAGACATGCTCCTGCTGCTGCTGCTGTTGCTGTTGTTGCTGCTGCTCAGGTGTATGGGCCGCAGCGGCGTCAATGGGTGCACCGTGCATGGTCTTCCCGGAGCTATTCGTGCACACAATGTACTCCACCTCATCGGTATAGGGATTGAGGAAGGCATACGCCTGGGTGCGCAGCCAAACGTATTCGGAATTCTTGGCCCGTGCCCTGTAGAGCAGCGAGAACATCTGTCCCTTCTGCTTGAGCACCTGGTCGAAGCTCTCCTTCATGTGACTCTGATCTTCGGGGTGAAAGAAGTCGTAGCAAATCTTGCCGAGCAGCTCCGTCGGGGTGTAGCCCAAAATGTTGAGCACTCGCTGATCGACAAACGTGAATTTCCCGTCCATGGCATGGCGTGTGATGAATTCACTCTGATTGTTAGAGCCGCTCATGTCGTTCGCTGCCGTGGAGGTGACCTGCAGCCTACCGATGGCCACCAGGCAGCAGTGGGACGTCATGTCGTCCACATCCCGCTCCATGTGCATATTGGGGAACATATCCGTGGGCGGCCAATTCTTGATATAGCCCGTGCAATGGACCACAGCAAAGTTGGTGCCATCGCGCGACGGTCCTAGCGAGTTGCGCTGCTTCAGTCGATTCAGATGTCCCGAGACCATAGAGTCCGAGTTGACATTACCCACGCGCATGCGGCAAATGAAACCGCGACGGGCGCCCATGCTCAACCGCATCGAAGACTGATGTCCCTCCTTTTTCACTGTGCCCGATTTGAGATCCAGGATGCGTCCAGCATTTTGCGATTCCTGGGTGGACAACTGCTCGCGGATCTTCTCACGATCATCGGGATGTATGTGCTCGTACAGACTGGTGCCGTACCAGTCGCTCTGGGTGTAATTCAGCACGGGCGTCACCGAGTCGGAGACGTAGATCACGCGACCCGAATCACACGATACCACAAAGAGGAACCCGTCGGCCGCCTCCAGGATGAGATGCTTTAGTTCCTGGTCGGTGAGAAAGGAGGGTTTGTAGGTGCCATCACTGCTGGTGTTGCCAGTGCCCCGCAGTGCCTTCATGTGCGCCACGGCCATGCGGAGTATGGTCAATTTATCGGGTTTTCTGGCCAGGGCACTGCATGTGGGCACCATGTCCGAGAGCTCTGTTATGTAGGCCGTCATTTTATTGCGTCTCCGCCTCTCGATCTCGCAGTGGTTCTCGCGACTGGCGAAGCGCTCCTTGTCCTGTATGTTCGCCTCGTCCATGATTGGAATACGTAATTAGGTAAACGTTTCTTCTACTCTCTCGGCGCTTCTTTTTCTGCTGCTTCTGCTTTAATTGTATTTGGGTCGCTTATGCTCTGGAAAATGGTTGGTAGAGCCAAATGGCGGGGGTGGGGTTAGTATTTTGTCTACGTTGTGTGTATGTGTTTACTAGCTAAATGTACGCGAAAGCACTTTTCCATTCATCATTCACAACTCAACTCACATTTTATATAAGAGGGGTAATTCTAAACACATTTAAGCACCTTTATTTAATTGTTTTATGCGCGTTTTAAGCGTTTAAATCAAGTTTTTTTTCCACGATAAAATCTCTGTTTACTGCGTGTCAGTGTGACCACTCCGATTAAAAATACCGTCGAACTCTGATAGATATACCAAAATACCCAGTGGGTATGGGTTATTTGGTATTTGTTGTCCATGATCACAAATCATGTTCCTCGATTTTGATATTCTGTTCAATAATAGTAGCAAGTGAGGGCTCTCGGCACAAAGCATATAGTTTTGTTCGATGGATTAAACCATTATCTTCATAATAGCTTATTTAAAGAACTCTTTTTAATTATTTTTTTTATAAAATAAGATTTGAACATATAATACCACTCTGTGAAATTTGTACATGGTAACTACACATTTGCTTCATGGCAACTACACATTCATGTAATTCAACTTCTGACGCGAGCCTTATCAAAATAATCGTTTTTCCGTCATTCAAACTAATCATTTGTATTGAAAGTCTGAACATGTGCCTGAAAAGTAGCAACATCTTCTTTATCTCTTACCCATTTTCCACCCAATATAAAGAACCGCATAACTTTCTGATATTGTTGTCAGTATTTAATGGTATTACAGCATTGCGTTGTCTTACATATATCAAATATAATTTCATAAATACATTTAATTGTTTACTCATAACTAGGCATTTGTATCCGTAATAGTACGAACTAGTTGTTATTAAAAAAATTAAAAATTAATTATAAATAGTGGCAATAACAAATGTCTCCATTGCATGTCTCTCGCCAATCTAAGCCAATCCCTTTCTCAACCCTCTCCGTTTGCATACTTATAACAAAAATAGTAAGCTTGCGCTTCAGCTCGCATTCGATTTTCTTTGTTTCCTTCGCTTCTTAGATGATCTTTTACTTTAATACAATCTTAGGTAAAGTTTGTTTTGCTCTGTGTCTTCTGCATGTGGGTGCTTAGTATTTGTTTTAAATAATTATTGGCAATTCTCTAACTGCATGATTCTGTTCTTTTAGATGGGCATCCAGTGTTCAATACATATTTCCTTACAAGCTGTTGCTGTACAACATACAAGTCTTTTGTTCGTTTAAAATATATCATCTTTTTGTCATTAAAATATGTGCACTACTTAAATGTTAATTCATTAAAATGCGGCATTTCCATTCAAATTGCTTAGCGTGTGTGCTCAATATACGATTTATCTTCATATTTTTCTTGTCTTTTTTTTTAGTTTTGTTTTGGTTGAAGTCCTATTTTTGTTAGATTAAACTTCAGCATAATTCGTTGACTAGAAATTAACTTAAAATCTCACTTAAAACTAAACTATAAACTAGATTTAACACGCATCTTGCATTTGCAGTTTACTTTCTGTCTTTCTGTTTTATTTTGGTTTTCGTGCATATATTTAAGTATTTTTCTCTGATCAATCAATCCTTTTTGTGCTGGCAGAATATATTATTTATAGATTTTTCTCCGTTTCCTTTTGTCCGGAAAGTAGTCATTGGGTTTAATTACCATCAATTCAATCAATTTTGTTTTAGTTGCTGCAAGCTTAAACATAACTTTTCATTCAAAATCCTTTAACAATTTTTATAATTTAGTTTCTTTGCAATTTCAAAACATTTTTTTAGCACCAAAATGATTGAAAAAATATAATTTTGTTTTTGTTTTTTTGAATAGAAATTTCCATGTAAAGAAAAACTAAGTAAAATTGCAACAACTTTTGTCCTTCAATTATTTTGCACAAAACAATAAAAAAATGTTAATACAAAAACGGATCGGTTCTGAGCTATCTCATTCAATCCAACCATACAATACTTTGGTTTTTGTGTGTAGCATACAACACGTAAAATAGATCATATCATGTACTATATATCGCTCAAACAACGACTTGCGATTCTCTGGGGGGGTCTACAAAAAATTGAAATAAACGTAAAAATCTCGATTGAACAATACAATAATATTCTCAAGGGGGCTCCGGCTCTTGGGCGCCTACTCTTATACTCATAAAATCACAACAAAATTAAATATATATAATAAGCATATAAGAAGCATGCAGACATTACTCTTGCCATCTCTTTAGTTAGTTCTTTCTGTAATCTTTAGTTTCTGCAAAAATATCAATTATTCGTTAATACTAGAGTCTTGCAATCCATTCCATACTGTGCTCCTTTATATCCTTATATAATTGCTCTTCCTTCCGCTAATTTTCTTCCTCTATATAATTGCTCTCGTTTTGCGCTCTTTTTTCTACGAAATGCAACAACTTTTGTGTGTAGTTTTTATAGTATTTTTTTTTTTTTGTAGATTTGATTGCGAGTTAAGAAGATTTCTTTTCTGTTTAGGAAACTGAAACGATTCCCGCTTCGCTGAGGGGTTGCTCCAACGCGGAATCCTTTAGTGGCGGCTCCTACGTCGTATAGGTCCTAATGACGTCACGTATCACTGCTCGACAGAGCGGACACTGGCCGCCGCCCACTCCGCGCCACTGCTCGATGGCACAGTCGTAGCACATGCACATGTGTCCGCACATATAGAGCACAGAGTCAATGGGATTCTCATAGCAAATCGTGCACTCGGCACTCGAGTCCGTGCTATGTTGGTCGCTCAGACTATCCTTCCATTTGTTGGCAGCATTATTTGTGCTATTAGCAACGGGCTACAAGGAAATAAAATGAGAAGAAAAGGAACTTTAGTATACTTCTGGATGAGATCTCTCGCTCTCTGTTTGGTATTCACCTCAATGTATTGACTGCTGGCGGTGCTAATGAGCGTGCCACTGCTGCAGGCTCCGGCCAGTATCCCACTGGATGTGACTGTGGTTGTCGTTGGTCTTGCATTCACCTGCTGGCCATTCAAATCATGGGAGCTGCTGGCTGGTGGAAGGTTTACGACCAGCACAGTGCCACCGCCATTCGGTTGGATCTGCAAGATGTCGCCATTGGAGGGCATGCTGATCATGCGACTACCATTCGCTGCTCCTCCAGCGGTGGAGGCCAGCGTGCTCGTGCTCTGTGCCACACTCAACTGTGAGTTATGCTGCAGCATCTTGGTGGCTGCACCCAGCAGCTGTCCCGCATTCAAGCTGTTCATGGACTCAGTCATGGGCAGCATCCGGGAGGTAGAAGCGTTTGAGGTGCTGCAGGCGCTGGCATTCACCTGCGGCTGTGAGGGATATGCCACCATGTTCGGCAACTGTTGGCGGAACATTCTCAGCGATTGCGTCGAACCATAGACATCGAGGAAGGCCCACAGCTGCAGGGATTGATCCACATGCATCACCACAACGGCTGGGCCATTGTTCTTGCTGATCGACACCTCACCATTGGGGGCCACAAAGAAGGCAATCTCATCGCCACGCTGTGGGGCTGCCGCTATGTCTTTGGACACCACCCAATACTCGGGACGATCTAGCAGGAAATCGGAATCATTTGGCAGATCATTGGGTTGCAGGACGGCAGGATTGCACGAGGTAAGACCCAGCGCCAGAGCACCCACATACATCTGTTCGGTTTTGAGGACCTGCACAATCAGCTTCTCCCCAATGCGTATGGGGCGTGCCGTGAACACATATCCCTGACAAAAGTCCGACTCTGTGCGAGAGGCAATGAAGCGATCATGGGAGAGACGCACATTCCTGCCCTTGGTGATGTGAAAGGGCACGGGTATGAGGCGTCCATTGGCATTGTATCGTAGCGGTGGCAGACCATTCGCCAAATCATGCGCGATGGCCGCCTGCTCCACACTGGTTGTGGCATTTCCAGTCAAATGCAATGACTGCAACGATGGCATTACATGCCGCTCCAGATCGTGCTCGATCACGCCACCATTTCCGGGCAGCGAACGACGCGATTGCTGGTGCGGATGATGGGGATTTAGGGCGGATTGTGGTGTCATCTGCTGCTGCTGTTGCTGCTGCATTTGTTGCACCTGCTGCTGCATCACTGGCTGCAGCGGCAGGGACTGGGTTATCTGTTGGTGCTGCTGCTGCTGCTGCTGCTGGTACATGTAGATCCGTGAGTCCAGGAATTCAATTCCCGTGCAATTGCCATAAATATCAATCACAGTCCACAGCAGACTCCGCGTATCAATGCCGGACAGGATCACGCCCTTCTCCTCATTATTTATGCCATAGATGACATCCCCAGCGTTATTCACATAATAATACAAAATATTATCCTTCTCGCAGTACTGTTCGTGCAGGGCCTTGGCCCAGAAGCCAGGACGATTCGTCAGATCCGGACAGGCATACTTGGGCAAGGTGCCCTCCAGCGACACAGGATCATTGCTGGTGAAACCAAAGCGTATTCCTCCATTCCAGTTGTTCGATATCTCCGCAAACTTCACACAGATCCTCTCATTGATGCGCACGGGGCGCGCGGAGAAGGTGATGGCCCGACAGAAGCTCTCGTAGCGCCGTGCGAGTGTACCATCGCGTGAGATCCTGATGTTATCTCCATGCACGCTGTGGAACTGCAGGGGCGGCAGGTTATTGGGTCCAGGGCAGGATGAGGGCGAACGGCGAACTGTAAGAAAATAAAGAAGGAATATTTCATAAAGTTAGAAAAGGTTTAAGAGGCAGGATTCTTAAGGATAAGTCTTGATATTTTATGTTTTAGGTAGGAAAATCTAGGATTCTAGAGCTCTGCAGTCGTTGGCCCAATTTCAGCTGTCTAAAGTCACTTTTTATTGTATCTATGGCTGGAACAGATTCCATCTTCTACAGCTAGAGTTTATCCCTTAGATACTGCTCCCACAGCTACATTTATCCCTCAGTTACATTTTCTGCCCCATTCTGTCTCAGTTTTGAATCTTTTCTTTTATGAGACAAGAGCCCTGTCCTGTCCCACGTATTGAATTACGCTTTTCTTTGCCGTAGAGTTTTTCACATGCTTCCATGCTGCAGGTAGCTCATAAGAATAGATGCCACAGATAGCAGCAAACGCCATGTGCTAGATATCGAATTACAGAGTCTGGATTACTCGTTGAGGAGTCAATAAACCCCCGAAGCCTAGGCTCTGTTATCCCTGATATTAACGGATGTGGCACGTGACTCTGATGACGATTATTGATCCCCAGTTTGGTGGGTGACATGATGGGAGCAGCGATAGATTTGTTGCCTCC